AAAAAAAAAAAAAAAAAAAAAAAAAAAAAAAAAAAAAAGAAGAAGAAGAAGAAGAAGAAGAAGGAACCGAGCTGACAGTCCCCAGAACAGAAGCAGCTACAGTCTTTCCCCGAACATAAGGCACCCTGAAAATGAACATATGCAAGGCATGTTTCCGGCCTGATGCGGTCGAAATGAGGGTGCGTTGTGTTCGGGGGAAGATGGTAGGCGCCAGAGGGTCTGTCCTTTTAAAAAAAAAAAAAAAAAAAAAAAAAAAACAGAGAAGGGGTGAGGGGCCAGCAAAGACCTGATTCAGGGAGAAACAGGTGTAAATTGAGAGACACGAAAGCCGCCGCTCTCTGGAAACAACCAGATACGGACACAACTTGCTACTCCCATGACAAGATACGAACAATCAATGTACACTGAGTGTACACTCGTCAAACCTTCAAAGATGAACTACAGGCTTCACCCGAATAGAACGCCCGGTCATTAAACCCCCATCTGGACTGGAAGTCTGGAAGTTACATCAAATACAGCTTTAATGACCGAGTGTTCTTTCAAATACAGCTTTAATGACCGAGTGTTCTAGTCAGGTGAAGACGGTAGGTAGGCTTTAGCCCTCACAGAGACCACATCTTTGTCATAAGACTCATAACAATCACACCAGCATAGCGCATAGTGTAACTGGCACCCTTCTTTTTTTTTTCTTTTTTTTCCCCTCCCCTTAACCATCACCCTTCTGCCTATCTCTGCGCAAGTGTCTACAAAGACGACGGCTTGGCAGAGACTAAGTTTGACTCAGCAAGCGGACTGCCAGAAGCTCAGCCACAGAAGAGGAACATAAGCTTATCTGGACATAGGACAAGGGATGATGAGAGGAGAATCAGACAGCGTCACCCAAACACAAAGGAAGATGCTGCATGCGGGATAGCCCCCAACACCATTGCAGAGAGATGTCAACGCATCATGGGTATAGATCAGCAAGTAGACACCATTTATAGTGCAAGGCACTGATCGTGAGTGCAAACACACGCAAACAGGATGAAAGCAAATAATGGGGGAGAAAAGAGAAGATAACCTAGTCTGATTGGGGGCGTGAGACCGGGTATAGGCCTGAGCCGGGTATAGGCCTGAGCCGGGTATAGGCCTTGCTTGGTAGACAGTATAGCTAGGTTCTGGATTTGATTGGGTTGATAGGGATGCCTGGAATGAGGGATTGGATAGAAGAAGAGCTCTAATGTTACATGCCAAGTTGCGCTATGTATTCAGCCAAGGATCCGCAATGTGATGAAAAGGACTGAATGGACAATGTACTGTTAGTGAAACATCAACAGACAGTGTACATCCCGATACATGAAAAATGGCATTTGATAGCGCAGCGGAAGACTTTGAGATAAGTCCTGACCTGAC